AAGAGTAAAGTATGATTCCTCTCTTAGCTTCAAATACTTGATAGAGATAACCAATTTATGACATCTAAATGGTGGCAGTCTTAAGAACTTACTACTTAGATTCACTGCTAGCTTTTCCCCGCAAAAGCCTTTTTTTCTAGGACACACTCTATAAGATCCTGCTAAGGTGCACAGCACTGGGGATGATTAAAGTAATGCTACCTACTCAGGCCTCATTTACCAAGAATACAGGCAATATAAGTCCTGTCTGATTAGGGAATGATTCTTTCTTTTATCTTCTGACGACTCATTATTTTCATGTCAACAGGGCACAATCTATACTAAAAAAAAGTGGGAGGGCGCTAATTTTGCAGATAATTTTCTATCTTTGACCAACTACTACAATAATTCCACATCACATCTAGAAGGCTGTCAGTAGAAAACGTAGCATGTCAATGTCATCGATAATGCCAAAAGGCATTTACCCTTTTAACATTCAGTGATGGAAACCAGAAAACAGCTCAAGTAACTCTTAATAGAGTGGAAACTAAGAAATTTATCTGGGATGGGATTGAGAGGGAGAGGAAAAGGATGGGGAGGGAAAAGGAGGAAGTGGAGTAGTTTGTTTTGGGATAAGAGAAGAATGAGTGTCATTGATTTGTAAGCACTGACACAGAGAAGACCCGACAGAGCCTTTGGTCTGCCTATTCAGTGCATTAATGCATCTGTTCAAAGATGATGCCCTCAGTGTTTGAGTAAAATTTACTGTGGAGCTAGATTTCTTTCCTTTTGCTAGTAATGTGCCTTGTTGCTTTATTGACTCATAAAGGCTTTTACCCAATATATGGAAGCTACATTTAGATTTCTGAGAAAGGCTGAAGTATCAAATAACCAACTTAAACATTTGGTCTTGGTTATACCTTATAAAATCTCAATCTATGGAGAGAAAAAAGGATGCAACAATACTTTTTAAGTATGTGATGGCAGATATCTAAAAGCACCATTGCTTTTAATACTTGGGAGAGGATAATGAACATGTTGAACAAAATCATGCAGCAGAACATTACTTGAAATTATCCTTCCTCAATCGGAGTAACTGTCCAAGGCACAAGCTATGAAACTGCCTGTAAATACACTATTAAATGGAAAGCTTCCAAATCCACAAAAGAAAAGAAACACTTGGAAAACGAGAGAAAAAGGAAGTGAAAGGTAAATAACCAACTCAAAGGCAGAGACAGAGTTAAGTGAAAAGAAAATTGATACTATACTTTGGTTTTGCATTTTTGTATTCTTCAGTGTCTGTGTCCTCGTCCTCTGAGTACCAATTATCGCCTCTTCCTCCAGCCAAGAGGCCCCTGGCCGCCAACAGTCCCGCAGCATTCCCATAGCCAGTGTATTTCAGCAGGCTATCCACTGCAAAAACAGAAGAGATTTTTAGACAGGAATCCTTCAGTGTGCATTGTCATCACTGACCACTCACCACACAGGGAGGGTGGAGATACAAGCCATGGCAGTAACTCTCAAACTTAAGAGGTTTTCGAAGTGTGGTAGTGGTTATACTGAACTACCTACACATTCTCCTACATGCTCTGAGGACCAAAAGCCTTTTTTCAGGCATCGGAAATTCAAATGGAGCTGTTTTGAACATACTTTGTGGCAGGGATGGGGCCTCTGTGACCACCAGGCCATTGGTACGGGTGGTGTTTTAGGTTTCTGTTTGCAAATCTTATTTATTATTCAGTTTTAGAGAAATGATGATTAGAAATCAAAGTTAGTGAAAGCCAGATTTAGATTTTATCAATATAGGATATCATGTAAAATCATTTTTATACCCTTTTTAGGAAATGGAGGGAAAGAATATAAGAAATGAGAAAACTTAAGAATATTAGCTGTTGAGTTGTATGAGTTCTTCATATATTTCGGATACTAGCTCCTTATAGGAGGTGTTTGCAAATATCTTCTCCCATTCAGTTGGTTGCCTCTGTTTTGTTGGTTTCTTTGTGCAGAAGCTTTTTAGTTTGATATAGTTCTATTCATTTATTTTTGCTTTTACTACTTCTCTTGTTTTTAAGGTCAAATTCATAAAATCCTCTCTAAAAACAATGTCATGAGTTTAGTACCCATGTTTTCTTCTATGCAATTTATTGTTTTAGGTGTTATATTTAGGTCTTTCATCCATTTGGAGTTAATTTTGGAGTATGGTGACAGCAGTCTAATTTCATTCTTTTGCATGTGGCTTTCCAATTTTCCCAGCACCATTTACTGAAGAGGCTTTCTTTTCTCCACTGTATGTTTTTGGCTCCTTTGTCGAAAATTATCTGCCTATATATATGTGGGTTTATTTCTGAGTTCCATCGGTCGATGTGTCTGTTTTTTTGCCAATACCATGCTGTTTTGATTATTGTCATTTTGTAGTATAACTTGAGAACGCATATAACTCAACAACAACAAAAATTAACAATCTAATTAAAAAATGGGCATAGGATTTGAGCAGATATTTCTCCCAAAAAGACATACAAATGGCAATAGACATATGAAAAGATGCTCAACTTCACTAGCTAATAGAGGAATGCAAATCAAAACCACAATGAGATACTACCTCACACCTATAAGAATGGCTATTAGCAACAAGACCAATAACCAGTGTTGGAGAGGTTGTGGGGAAAAAGGAACCCTCACACACTGCTGGTGGGAATGTAAATTGGTATAGGCACAATGGAAAACAGGATGGAGGTTCCTCAAAAAATTAAGAATAGAATTATCATATGATCCAGCAATCCCTCTTCTGGGTAACTACCCCAAAAACTTGAAAGCATTTATCTGTAAAGACATATGCACCCTGATGTTCATTGCAGCATTCATTATTCACAGTGGCCAAGGCATGGAAACGACTGGTGTCCTTTGATAGATGATTGGATAAAGATGTGGTACCTATACACAATGGAATATTACTCAGCCATAAGAAAAGATGAAATACTGCTATTTGCGACAACACAGACAGATCTTGAGATGATTATACTAATATGTGAAATAAGTCAGACAGAAAAAGTCGAGAGCCATATGATTTCACTCATATGTGGAATATAAAACTGAAAGCAACAAACAAGAGAAACAAATTCATAGACACAGAAAACACTTTAGTGGTTATCAGAGGAAAAGTGGGGGAGGGGAGAGGTAAATAAGAGTAAAGGGGATTAAATATATGGTGATGAAAGGAGATTTGACTTTGGGTGGTGAACACACAATGCAATATACATATGACATATTATTGAATTGTACATTTGAAACCCATATAATTTTATTAACCATTGTCACCCCCAATAAATTTAATTAAAAAAATAAAATTTAAAAAAGGATGTTAGCAAATAGGACAGACTAAGTTATTGCTTTTTAAAAAATGCCACCAATACTATGTAAGCATATGGAATCCACTGAGAAGGTAGCCCCAGGACTTAAACTGGCTGGATTTTAATAATGAACCACCTTCTAGCTGGTCGACCTTGGGTACATTATTTTGCAATTCTGTACCCCAATTTTTTAATCTTGAGAATTGGAATAATAATATCTACTTCAGGTTAATATATGCAAAGTGTGTAAAAGTGTCTGGCACAAAGTAAACAGTCATTGTTTTCCTCTGGTAAAATTAGGTAAAATGATTATTGATCATTTTAGACTCATCTTCACAGGGAGAAGCATTTTCTTTGTAAAGAAAAGGGCATAGCCATATTCTACCCAGAGATCATTCCCCCTTCTCTGTTACACAGGAAAGGATTTATAATCCTTTTCCTTTGAGTCAAACAGTGCAACTTTTAGAAATCTTATACTAGTACCTTCCTCTAACTAGTCTCCCTATTTCCATTCTCACATCCTTCCACACAACTAGTTGCCTGATACATCCTTGTAAAGGATGGGGCAAGGCAAAAATATTATGTTATCACCTTCTAAGATAAAACCTCTAATATCTCCCCTAAAGGCTGAAGCTTGACTTCTAAAACAGGGCTTAAAGGGTTCTTCATTTTCTGGCCTCTGCTCTCTTTTCCAAATTCATCTCCTAATTACTCCTGCACATTGTGGATCCCTCACACTAGTTTCTTTTCTGTACAGTTCAAGGCTGTTTCCCATTTCTCTGTCCTCTTCTGTGAAGACCTGCTCTGACATCCACACTACCCAATCATTCTCTCTTCCAGGAAAGAATAATACCTGGCACATTTCTCTCTTATGCTGCTTACCATACTGTATTGAAGTTATTCCTTTAAATGGAGAAATGTATTTACCACATTAAGTTCAGAGCACAAATGTATGCTCTTTCATTAAACATTTCTGGGGCACTTACTACCTATAAAGTACTTTGTTAACCATTGGGGATCCAAAGATAAAGAAGACATGATCTCTGACTTAAAGAATCTCAATGTCTAGAAAGAAAGTTCAATAAATAAAAAGAGTTACAACATAACAAATGTGAAAAGTATTAAAAACAGAGATAAGTAAAAACGGCATAAGGCAGAGAATGATTAATTCAGCCTCGGATGATCAGAGGTGTTTTTATAGAGATGATGCGTAACCTGACCTGCAAGGACAGATAAAGCTCACCATGCTAACAAGGATGGGCAAGGCATTCCATGCAAAAAAGGAACAGCATCTGCTGAGTCATGAGGATATACCAAGAAACAGTGCAATACTATCAATCAGGCAAGAATAAAGACTTTAGTATGATTAAGCAGAAAGTGTAAGGTGAGAGCGGGTTCAGGATATACTACAGAGGTAGCATGGAGGTAAAATTTGATTTTACCATGTGGGTGACAAGGAGTCATTGAATGTTTTACAAGGGGAGTGACAAGATAATTTTGTATTTTAGAACAATCTCTCAGCCATGTAGAAAACAGACTGAAGAAAACCTTACCACGCATAAGGAGATATTCCTACTTTAATAGTTTATTGAGAGAGACACGGATTTGGGAATCCTCAGAAAACACAGGATAGAATCTCCAAGAGCGAGGATAGGCTCACCCAGGGAGCAATGTAAAGTGAGAACAGGGGCCAGCAGAGAACTCTAGGGCACCATGGCAATTATATGTGGACAAAGACAGGAGTGAGTAAACGAGACTGAAAAGAAAAGACAGAGGTAGGCCAAAGGAAATCTAGGAGTGTGTGGTAGCACAGAAACAGAGAGAATGGTCGGCAACGCCAGCAGAGAGATGTAATATAATAAGGACTAAAAAATATCCACTGTATAATTTGCTAGTTTATTTGTGACTTGACTGAGAGCATTTTGAGTGGCATCTGGAGGGGTAGGGAATGGTAGTGGAAAGCCTGACTGGCATCAAGTTGAAGCCTGAGTAGGTAGTATGATACTGTAATGAAAAACAGATTAATCTTTTAAGATACTGAGATACAAAAAACAGTGACATGAAGATGGATATAGGTCGAGGGAAACACGAAGGGAGAGTTAAAAAAAACACGAAAGACTAGAGAGTAACAACTGATGAAGTAAGGCTTTTGAGAAGACAGGAAAACATCAACAAAAAAGGCAGACTGTTTAGTGCTGCGCTAAAGAGATACTCCTCTGAGAAAATTAAGTTTATAAAGGTGTGGGGCTAGGGGCCAAGGGCTTTATTTATCTTTGCAATTCAGCCATTACCACAATGCTGAGCACATATTGGGAAGTAATGAATGTGTGAAAAGTGGGGAAACCCCGCAAAGGCAGGGGTTTTACGAATTATTTTTTTATTAAACTATGTAAGAACTATCTTTAGGCCCCCTTTAAAATATACGCAATTTGCAGAGCAGCTAATAAAAGTTTAGTTTTTCAGGACTCAACAAAACAAGCTCGTAGCAAGAAGACAAGTTAACCTGTGGGCCATTATCAGTTGGAGATATAGTTTAGCCTGCACAGATGAGTATTTAAGACATTTGGATGGTTTTCTCTGTGCCAAGTCTTCCATAAAATTTTGTCCTTTTAACTCACCCCATTTCAATTTTTCCTTCTTAATCCAGTCTCTGTGTTCCTAACCCAATTTGACTGCTGCTTGCTGTGTCTACTGAGTGGTCTAATTTTAGAGCCTTGATCATGGTACCTTCACTTTCAAACGGCTTCGAACATCCTTAAGACGAAAGTTCAGCCACTCTCATAAATGATTTGAAATTTATTTCATATTGATACTGTCTGCCTCCAAGCTCAACTCAAACTCCAAAATCTGATGACTTATAAGTTAGTTGAAAGTGGACTACAAACTTCCCTATCCCGCAGAAGGTTTCAAATTAGATTAGTTGACAGCATTTAAAAACTAGGAGGTTTTATCTAAATATCCAGAGTCCCAGCTTCTCTTGAAAAATTTGGAAGATTTGGTAACACTGGCTACATGCTTCCTCACGCTAATAATCAGGTGGAGCTAAATTATAGGAGCAATGTCCTCTTTTTAGTTCCTCCGAGTCCCCTTGTTCCCCAGTCCAAACCCACTGTGTCCCCAACAGTTGGCTGAGTGTCAGTTTTCATTTATCACCTTACATCTATCTAGCCCACTTGACTGACTTTTACTATCAACCTGGTACCTGTAAGCATTTGAGTTTATAACTCTTGATAAAAAAGTAAATAATATGAGGGCGGAGATGCTTATCTTTTCTACCTCTGTATTCCCAGGGTCTAGCTCAAAAGGTTACTTGTTAAATGAGTAAATTTTTTATTCCAGAATACATTTACTGAAGTTAAAATCAAATTGAAAGGAAAAGCATATGAACATATATGAACTGTTAAAGGTCAAATGAAAAAGATACAATTTCGCCAATATGGATTGGCTTTGGGCTCCAAGTTAGGACTAGGAAACCTCAAATATTGGGTCTTGGGGGAACAAAGCTAACCATTTCAAACGAAAAACAATTAACAAATTCATTTATAAATGCATATACTATATCTGCTTTGATACTAAGTCATTACTAAGGTGATTATATCTAGATACATAATTTATGTATTTAGATATGTAATTACAGAGGAAATAAACTTTATTTCTCCTCTTTTAATAACTTTTTAAGAAGTACACAAGAAACGCATACTCACTGTAGAAAAATTACAAAATACAGAGAATTAAAAAGTTAGCAGTCATCCTACTACTCATAGGTAACAATAGATAATATTTTGGTATATATTTTGATAATCATTTTTTAATGAATAGATACAGATATGTGTGGTTTAGATTATGTATATACATATATGATTACACTTTAAAAAACAACTAATTTCTGATCTCAGAAAAATTGATTCAATTTAGCCAGTATTTGCAGATTACTATATGCAAGGCACTATACCTGTCACTTAATTCTAAGATTCTATATCAGTCTTTTTTTAAAGTCATGAAAAATTTGTTTAAAAGAGCAGATTTTAATTAACTAGCCTATGGTAATAGTTGAAGATAATTATTATGAGAGGAAATAACAGCAGAATGGAATGATAAGACTCAAATTTGGGTTTCAGCCCTAAGTAACCACTTGACCTTGGATAAGTTACTGAAAGGCTCTCAAATGCCAGGTTGCTTCCTTAATAACAATGAAATTAATACTAATATTTACCTTAGAGGGTCCTTATGAGAATTAAATGGGATTATGGCATAGGATGTTCAGCATATGGTATCTCAACACATAATAGCTGTGTTTATTATCATCGTTATGATATGGTTCAAATTATGTTGCTAATATACTATCTTAACAGGAACTGAAGTGCTTAGATCAATCAGTCAGAAATGAAGTTTAAGAATTCAATGGATACAACTCAATAGTAAAAGAACAAATATAGCTGACCCTTGAATAACATGGGTTTGAACTGTGAGGGTCCACTTACATACAGGTGTTTTTCAATAAATATGTACAGTAGTTGATAGTTGGTCATGGGGATGGGGAGCACGGCAGAGGGAATGCAGTTAGCACTAATATGATGGCTCGGTAGAGGGCCAGGGGAGGGAGCGAGCAATTGGGGGATCATTTTATGAACTATATAGATGTCTAACCAATGTACTGTATACTTGAAACTAATTTAAATAAATTTGAAATAAATTTAAAAAATATGTACAGTACTGTAAATATATTTTCCCTCTCTTGTGATTTTAAAATTTTCTTTTCTCTAGTTTATTATAAAAACGCAGAATGTAATACATATATAAACATACAAAATACATGTTAATCAACTTTTTATGTTATTAACAAGGCTTCCAGTCGACAGTAGGCTACCAGTAGTTAAGTTTCTGGGGAGTCAAAAGTTATACATGGATTTTCAACTGTGGTGGGCACCCCCAAGCCCCACATTGTTCAAGGGTTACCTATAATTCAATTATATGTGGGCAAAGGACCTGAACAGGCATTTTTCCAAAGAAGACAAAGAAATGGCCAACAGTACAAGGAAAGGTGCTCAACATCACTAATCATCAGACAAATGCAAATCCAAAGCACGATGAGAGAGCACCTCACACCTGTTAAGATGACTTTTATAAAAATGACAAGAGATGATAAGGGTTGGCAAGGATGTGACAAAAAGGGAATCCTTGCACACTGCTGGTGGGAATGTAAATTGGTGCAGCCACTATAGAAGAAAGTATGGTGGTTACTAAAAAAATTAAAAATGGAACTACCATATGATCTAGCAATCCCACTTCTGGGTATATATCCAAAGGAAATAAAATCAGTATCCCCAAGAGATATCTGCACTCCCACATTTATTGCAGCATGGTTCACAACAGCCAAGACATGGAAACAAGCTAAGTGTCCATTGATGGATGAATGCATAAAGAAGATGTGCTAAATAAATGTGTGTGTGTGTGTATAATGTACTGTTATTCTGCCATGACAAAAAAGGAAATCCTGCTATTTGCAATAACATGGATAAAGCTAGAGATCATTATGCTAAGTAAATAAGCCAGATGAAGAAAGACAAATACTGTATGATCTTTTCCACTTATATGTAAAATCTTAAAACAAAAAAACGCATAAAGAGTAGAATGGAATGGTGGTTAGCAGTGGGTAGAGGGTTGGAGAAATGGGGAGATGCTGGTCAAAGAGTACAAGCGTATGAGTAAGTTCTGGGGACCTAACATATGGCATGGTGACTATAGTTAACAATACTGTATTATACACCAGAAATGTACTAAGGGAGTAATAAATCTTAAGCGTTCTCACAACACACACACACACACACACACACACACACACACACACACACACACACACAGAGTAACTGTGAGGTAGTGATGTATTAACTTGTAATCATTTAACAATGTACATGTATATCAATCATCATGATGTACACTTGAAATATATACAATTTTGTCAATTATACCTCAATAAAGCTGGCATTAAAAAAAAAAAAAGAATTCAACTGACTTAAGATTTTGAGAGAAGTAAGTGAAGTCTTTCGCCTCCAAATTATCTCTCTCACAAAACTGGGGTACTGTAAAAGAATGGAATATAAAATCTTAGATGGGACTTTTATACCAGTATATTTATAAACTAGGAGATGAAGAAAGAAATAGGCTGAATGTGCCTTGTTCAGAGAACGTGCCTATTGTTGAGCAAGCAACATACAATTTTAGGAAACATTTTAAATTGTTAGAGGTATCTCAGAAGACAAACACTTTATATATAATATAAAATTGTATTTATTACATTGTAGTGTAGCTATTTTTTAATTTTTTTCTACTTCTATCTTAAGGTAAGGGGTATATCTTAAGCATTTTTGTACTTCTATCTAGTACATTATACAACTCACATTTTATAACAACTTACTGACTAAAAACTTCTATAGCTTTAAGTCCAAGAGAAATTAAAGAGGAGAACTAACCCAGGACTTTGTCTAGTTATCAAAATTGCAGAGTTTGAATTACTGAAGCAGATTTTTCATAATGGCTCTGGGTCCTGACCCATTGAGATTAAGAAGTCTACGCAAAGGATACAAAAGGCAAAATTTAAATGTGAGTGTGGTTGGTAGTGTATCTGTCTGCATGTCTCAATGAATTCAGAAGCATATAGAACATGTTTAAAATGTATTAATCTTAATGTCTTTTCAGGCCTCTAATAGAACAGATAGACAGTGAGCTCTGAAAAGAGTGGAATGAGATGGCCACTACTCTCAGAAAGATTTCTCAGACTCCTTCAGAAAAATAAAACAGTAGAAGGCAAAGAGAGTTTAACCTACCTCTCTCTTTGCAAAGCACAAAAAGGAATTCAGCAGCAATTTGCTTGACTCCAAGGTCAACATGTGTCATTAGGCGCACCAGCTTATTTCTCACAGTTGAGCCAACTTCAGGTCGATTTGTCACATCCCTCAATGGTGGTAAAACCTAATGGTACAAATGCAAAAGCCATCATCAATCGTGGGTACTAAAGCAAGCGAGGACGACACCATGAAACTGGTCAGTCTTATAATGTCTACTGTGCTCACTTTTGCCAAGAGTGGAAAAAACATTAAAAAAAAATAGGTTTGCTTCCAAAAAAAAATAAAATAAAACTAAACAATGACAAAAAAAAAAAAACCCCAACAAAAAAAACCTCAAATATTTTCATGCTTGTAACAAAATTTTATTTGAAGAGAAACATCACTATAACACCATGGTATACTCATATCTATTTTTGAGCTTTAATTCATCTCAGCACCTGGAATGCCTCTGCTTGCTTCTATCAAAATCCATTTTAAAGTTGGGGTTAAGTTTCTCTTTCTTCCATGAAGACTTCCTGAATACCCTGACTCACAATGATTTTTCTCTTCTTTTAATTCCTGCAGCATTTGCTGTTTACTAAAAAAATCTATACTTACGTTTTCTAGTTTTACTTTATAATAAAAGTGGCTATTAATTATGGAGTACTTCCTATGTGCTAGCTGATTTAATATATTTTCTATAATCATCTCCATAGTAACCTTGCAAAGGATGTAGGAACAGCAACATCATCTATATTATAGACTGAGCCTCAGAAGGCTTACGAAACTTGCGTGGTTTGTCTAGTTTGTTTGCTCACTCACTCACCCACTCATCCACCCAGACCACTTCCTCTTCTGGTTCTCCTCTTATTTCACTGGTTGCTTTATCTCAGTCTCTTCTACCAATTCTCTTCTTTCCTCTTGTTTTCTAGGTGTTGGAATATTCAAAGGTTGAGTTCTTGGGCAACATTTCTTCAGTATTTTCACTTACTCTATTGGTGCTCTCATCCAGTTTTATGGCTTTATATGGTCTCTATAAACTAATAGCTCCCTAAATTATATCTCCATCTTGATTTCTTCCCTGATCCCCTGACTTTTATAGGTTTTTTCAAATTTAGCATATCCTAAAAAGAACTCTTGATGCTCCCAGCAAGCTGCTCCTTACGTAGTTTTCCAGCCATTAAATGGCAAACCCATTCTTCCAACTGTTTGGTACAGAAACCTTGGACACATCTTTGATCCCTCTCTTTCATACCCCACACCCAATCCATCGGCAAAGTATTTTGGCTCTCCTTTTAAATGTATCCACAGTCCAACCTCATCTCACTACCTCCTCTAGTATCACCACATCCAAGCTACCATTATTTCTTGCTTGGACTATTGCCACAGTCTTCTGATTGGTCTCTGCTTCAATCCCGGTCCTTCTGATTTATTCTCTACATAGTAGCCAGGATGATCCTTTGAAAGTCAGATCATGTCATGCCTCTGCTCACAGTCCTCCAGTTCCTATGGCTTCCCATCTCACCCATAGCAAAAGATGAGGTTCTTAAAACTCCCTTAGGTTTCACATAATCTAGTTTCCTGCTACTTTTCTGACTTCATTTCTACTATACTCCTTGCTTACACTGCTACAGCCACACAGACCTCCATGACTCTCCTTAAATACACCAAGCACCTTCCCGCTTCCAGGTCTTTGCATTTGCTGTTCCCTCTGCCCAGAAACTCTTTTTCTAGAAACTTGAATGGCTTATTCCCTTACTTCCTTCGGGTCTCTGTCTAAATGTCACTTATAGGAAAACACTTTCTGACCACCCTATATAATTAACCTTTAGCATTCTTTTTTACCACCTCCCACTTTCATCTTCCTCATAGCATTTACCACCACCTGACACCATACATATTTATTTCTTTAGTGTCTGCCTTCTTCCACAGAGTCAGTGGGGCATGGGAGCAGAGATTTGCTTTGTTTACTATTCTCAGTGCCTGGCAAATTATAGGTATTCAATATTTCTTGACTGAAGGAAGAATGAATTCAAGTAACTTTTAAAAAGTGCTTCTATAAGCTATGCATTATGCATAGCAAATGACGATAGACACAAAGTCAAATAATAATTTATTTTGTCAGACCCTTTTTGTGTATATTTTTATTTAATCCGTTCAACTTACACTCTTCCTTCCCACATTCTCTATGTTGAGTGTCTACCATGTATCAGGAGGTACTGGAGGCAATAAAGACATAACTGAATAAAAACAGAAACTAAATCTCAGAAAATTGAGTAACCTACCCAAAGTGTTTATAGAACCCATATTTTAATTATCTCTGGTAGGACAGAACACAATGCTCTTTGTGTTCTATAGGCACAAAGTAATTGCACAATAAATTCTTGTTATTTATTCAGTCAATCATATTGAATTTATCTCCTATTTCTAGAAGAATGAGACATGTAACAAGTTTTCGTGTAGGATGTGCTTAAAATTCCAGAGGACAGAATCTATTAACATAGGTTATCACAGACAAAGTCTGTGAGCCATATTTTGAGCTCCTTGGAACAAGTCTTTTAAATGAAATTTTGTTGTTTTTATTATTATTTATCACTCTCAAATTGCATAGGTATAGACCCTTTCTATAACTGCCCCGCAAATACTACCTTCCAACAAAGGTTTTCTTTGACAAATCTTGTCAAGTTCCTCTCTCAAACCCATAGCATTCTCATCTCTTCCCTAAGCCTTACCAGACTAAGGTAGCCTGGATCAGTAATTTCTACCCTGATCCATTCTCTTTCTACCTGCTCCAATACAGACCACTCAAGACCAATTTCCTCTGGGCATGCACCAGTAGAATTTAATCTGGTATCAATGGTAGAGCATAATAATTAATTAGCCATGGTTCCATTTACACTATTATCAAAGCTAATCATGTTACTTCAAGTTTTGCCTTTCTCAATTATCATACTCTACAGTACTCTGAGCACCCTCCTCAGAAGGAAAGTTGATTTTTGAAAAGTGCCTTGTATCTTTAGTTATCTTTTACTTGTCTTGTTTCATTTCTTTATCTATACTGTAGTGTTTCCTTGAGGACAAGGAATGGGTCTCATAATCTCTTATATCTACATAATGTATGACCCAAGGCCTTTGTGTAAAGAAACTGTTTAACAAATAGCTTATTTTTATCTTTTAGCTTTTTTGGCCAGAGATAGCAAAACCTAAACAGTTTAGTTGAACTTGGATCTCCTATGTGAAAAAGCTTAAAGTATTTTCATTTGTTATTCTTCACCAAGTCCTCCTAGCCATGGTAGAATGTCTTTAAAAAGGTCAAATTTGGAGATGACCCCAATTCATTAATTAACTAGTTTATTTTGTTTAAATGATTATTTGTGCTTTCATGGTACGTCTCTCATCCTTCAACAGACTATAAATTCCTCAAAGATAAGAATCCCGACTTTCCAATCTCTCCTTACCAGAAATATCTATTAATATATTCTACATACAGTAAAGTGCTTACTAAATCTGGACCATAAACATAGAGGGGAAAAATGAACCTGGTTCATTTATTAGGGGAAATTCTACATAGCAATAAATCAATAATGAGGTGAATGGTACTACCATGTATTGAAATGTGGGAAGAAGGAAAAAACAGGGTGGGGTGGGCATGGGAAATCAAGACATTAGTTTGGAATATGTTAAACTTGAGATACTATACATCCAAGGGGAGGAGATGAGTAGGCAGTTTGCCATATAAGTCTGGAGCTTAGGGGACAGACCAGAGCTGGAAATAGAAATTTGGGAGTCATCAGTGTATAGATGATTTTCAAAACCATGACTGCTGAATGAGATCAAAGATGAGTAAAGAGAAAAGACAGCGTGAATATAGAAAACTCTTCTGAGGAACAATGCGTAAAGAAGAGTAGAGGAATGGGGAGGCAGCTTGAGAAGCAGGGTTAAGGGAAGAATTTTTTGCTTTTATAATGGAAGATGAGTTTGAATGTGGACAGAAATGATTTAGTACGTTAAAAAAAAAAACGATTAATTTAGGAAGAAAGAAGGAATAAATGCAGGAGCAAAGTTCTTGAGAAGGTGAGAGAGAGGAATCCAAGATACCAGTGCAGAGGCTGGCCAGAGAAGGAAGCAGGGACAATTCATCCATTGTGATAGAAGAGGAGACAAAAGATCTGGTGGTACAGATGCATTTCTTACCATGACCTCTAACTGCTCCATCCTACTCCAAACCTTCGCCATGAGTTCTCTTTGGGCTGGTCTCTTCACACCTACTCACACTTCTCTAGTCTATCCTACAGACAGTACCCAAAGTATCTTTAAATATAAATGAGGTCATGTCACTTCCCTACTCAAAACAGCCGAATGCTTCCCCATATCACTTAAAAGAGAAGCAGAAGTCCTATTCGATCTTATGTTATTTAGTTCTTGCTTTTCTCTTTTACTTCATCTACCACTCTCTCCTTTCACATTGTTATCTGATCTTTTTGCTTTTCCTTAAGCATTCCAAAGCGTCCTTCCATCTCAGGAACTTTGAACTTGTTCTCTGGTACATTCTTTTTCTAGAATATTCTCAGAGATCCTTTTCTTACTTATCTAAGTTTTTGCTCAAACATTACTTCCTCAGAGAGGCCCTCCCTTATTCTTCTAAGTTCCCCCTCCCCTGCTGTATCTATCTTCAGAATGCTTATCCTTCCTTGCCATTATATCATATCTTTACTTGTTTACTTTTTAACCTCTCAGTATAAGGTCAACTCCACAAGGCAAAGACTTCATCTGTATTTTAATGTTTAGAACGATATTTAGAACACAGCACATAGTAGATTCAAGAAATACTTGTTGAATAAATGAATGACAAAAAAATACACAGGATCACTTATTTCTGGATTAGGAAGATTTCAAAGATTAAAACTAACTTTTCCGAGTTTCTGACTTTCTAAAAGAAAACAACTATGAAAGAATTTAAATCATTAATTCTATGTTTAAAAAAAACACATAGAAGATTAACTTTAAGATGTAATATGCATTAAGCAGTTACCTGATCTTTGAGAAATTTTCTGATGTTTCGATGGGCTCGGGAACATTCTGTTAATAAGCTGAGAACTGGAGTTAGACCCTCTCTATAGCTGCTTCCCTATAAAGAAAACCATATATGCTATATTAGTTTAGTTTGTAACAGTATTACTTTTCTCCATATAACTGAGCATATTAATACTCCTTTTTGAGGGGAAGACATTCTATGCTACCAAAGCTTACAAACTATTTATGAAATTATTTTCCTAACAATATTTCCGTTTCATCAGTTAGTTTCATGTTTACTAATGCTCATTTTCATCCTTCCTGGGTTTTTCTACATTTTATAGGGTCTTCACTGACTTAACCAATAAGCTTAAATGAGGCAAAGGTTTTGATGATCGACCCACACTACCCTGCTGCCTTTTAATACAGTTGCCTGACAAAGCGAGTGGCAGATGAGAGAATATAAGCAGCTCACAACCAACGGAAAGTTGATTTTTCTTTTAAAGATGTCTTTTAGGTATTATGAAAAGTATCAGCAAGTTTTGGGGGGGATAATTTTAACCTCTAGGACTTACAAAATAACTACGTGTAAAAGTAATTCATTTTTCCTTTGTTTTCAGGCACTTGTCAATTTTGGTGCTGCATCAATACAATTTCAGCTTTAAACAAATTAATTCACTTGGTTTCATCAATTTATCATAGCATTATAAAGTGCTTTCCAGAGAACAAATAATTATACAAGATGTCAACTATAAAAGAAGCTTAGATTTAAAAATCATGTCTCGTAATACTGCTATGTATGGCACTTCTACATTCTTTAGAAGCATCTTTCAAAGGCCTCCATTTTATCAGCCTTACCTTGTCTATTCTCTTCTCCATAAAATTGAGTAAAACATGAATGGCTTCCATATTCATACCATTATATACCATGGTATTATTTTTCAAAACTGTTTCTTTCTCAGCTGTTTTATCACTGGGCACTTCATCTAGAGTCGTTGCCTCTTGGGCTGTTTCTTCATGGGTTAATGGACAAATGAGAACATCCAAACAAGAGACCGGAACATTGCTTAAAAGGTTGACTGCATTGCTGAAAAGCAATTTAAAAATACAATATTTTAACTTGATTGAATAGTCTTTTAAAAAGCAAACATAATAAGAAGTTCAGAAGTGACTTTTAGGAGTCAATTAAAAATTTTCTTTTTCAAAATGAGCCTTTAATATTACGTGGCATTTACTGACTAAGAGAAAATAAAGAGAACTATTTCGAATACACAGATGACAAATTAGAAAGAACAGATGTTAAACGGACACACACAATCACATGATGTCATGTCACTTTCTGAAATGCTAAAATAGGAATTAGTGAGCTTTAACACCAGCTCTTTAATTTTATTACAACACAATGCTAGCTTTACAATTTTTCCTTGGGGTTTTAAATCCTTTTGTGGATTCACCGGTGTTTTATTATTCCCTAGATTACAACATAAAGCATCTGAGAAGCACTGTATATAAGCAGCTTATCACAGAGGCAACAATGTTAAAACTCAAATATCGTAGGATTAAGTTTTGTTTTTTTCTAGATGTAGAAAATACAATTTTTAGATCATCCAAATTTTTTGAGAGACACTTGCAGAAAATGGGTAATGGTGCTTTTTCTTGCTCTCTTATCACCAGGTTTCTTTAAAAGAGGCCACCATAGTTCTTTTGAAGCTATCTCCTAGGCCTTTCTCCTATGTATTAATGAATACACCAGCCTGAGATGCACACCAGTAGGGGGAACCCAAACCTTGTATTGTTGGTATTCTTGCACTGTTGCTCAGTGTATAAAAGATTAAAATGACACTAACAATTGAAAAATTAGACATGTTCTCAATTAAAATATTTTCTTTCATGTATTATTTCATATTCTTTCATCTAAAGGGAGAGGCAATGCTCTGTGCTAACTGGATCTTGTAAGCCTGTGCCTCAGAACTTCCTGATAAACAACAATGGAAAGACAGGCATTACATTTCCTAGTGACAGAGAAGCAGGTCTAAAAATAACCACATCCTGACTAAAAATAAACTCTTGCAAATGTAATTTAAAAGTCTAACCACTTGGAAACCAAATTCAGGGCTTAATCTATCTGATGCGGTCTTAATTTAGACCATAGTAGTTCCTTTTAATTTAGATTATAGTGATACTCTCAAAAATAAAACAAAATAAAAGAAATAAAACACACAATTTTTTCCTCTCCTTTACTCTGAAGCGTGACTCCATTTCCCCAAGAATGAATATTTCCTTTCTTTTTATATTATGGAAAAAAAATCGTAAGGAATCAAAGTTTAAAACTTAGATGATGTAGAACAATGAGTGTTAACGTAAAGGGTACCAAAAAATCTGAACCAAGAACAAAAATAACAAATCCTATGAATGAACAGTTCCTGGTAAAATACAAGTTATTTGGTTGTTCCCACTGAAAATCTACTGCAGCTGCTGCTACTGCTGCTGCTATTATTATTAAACAAAGAAAAGTCTGTAATTTTGGTTATTTGTAAATAATTACAACTGGTTGAAATAAAATGCTTTACCCACAAACTTTTTAAAAAAATTTTTTGCAAACATCTGTAGTTCCTTATCCATAGTTAAAGATATTTTGCTTCTGACTTAAACATTTGGTAACTGTAATTATTACAGATTCACTAGAGTTAAAAAAAAAAAAAAAGAAAAGAAAAGAACTCTACCTTAGAATTACTTTCTAAAACTGTATAAGCCATTCTGAAATGTTAGGATTTTTTTAAACACATAGGGCGGTAGGCTCTGGAGTCTATCGATAGTATAATTCTCTGAATCTACCATAGAGACCATACTGAAAAGTTTAAGATGATGCATTTCATTACAAAGAAATATTTCCTTTTAAATTCATTTAAAATAAGCAGTTTCCGGGAATTTGGTATATTTAAGAAATCAAATACAGAGTTTTATTCATCAAATATTTGGAGGTTGTAGGCTTTTCAAGAAAAGTTCCCATTTTCTCATTTCTTATTAAACAACTGGGTTCCCAAACAACTACGAAATTAATTTTCTGGCTCACTGTGTTTGAGCTATTCTTTTTAAGTAAGGAAGGCCAGCTTTTTGAGCTCTGTCACTTCTCTGACAGTTTTATTTGTGGTAGAAGAGTGTATGAAATTCTCCAGCTACCAGGAAGTCAGTGACTATGCACAGATCCACACAATGGTGTTTGCATTCCTACTCCAGGGGGTAGAAATACTGTGTATATTACTCTCCCCTTTTCAGCTTCCTAGAGATCATTAATCACTGGGACATGACATCCTCCCACTCATGCTCCCAGCCCCCTCCTGATATGCAGATTTAAAAGCAAGGCCTATTTAGAGCTCCTTAATGCCCTGATTAAAGCCTTGTAGTTGTGGGAGAGGGAAGGCAATCTAAAATACGGCCCTGTATCAATTTGCTGGACTGAACATAATTTAATACCAAATGTCACAGAGAAGCATGATGACAGTACATGTAGACCCACAACTGTTAACAAATCTTCCTGGTCAGATATCTTTTCATGGCTAAAAAACCTACTTAAATGAATCTTAAGATTGCCCAAAGATTTTCAGATGTAAATACCTAAGTTTACTTTAATCTAACTCAGTAATCTAACTCAATTCAGTAATTATTTCTTAATTACCCATGCTAGGCATTGCTTTAGGCAGGTATTATGAAGAAAACAGAGATACCTCCCTGCCCTTATGGAGCTTATTTTTGAGTATGGAAAAAACAGTCAATGACAAAACAAATAAGTTAATTGAACAGAAGGTGATAAGTGGTCTGGGTGTAAAACCCTGGAGGGTAAGATAGGCAGGATGTGTGGGTTGTAATTTTGAATAAGGTGATTACAGCAGACTTCACAGAGATGGTGTCATTTGAGCAAAGACTTAAAGAAGTTAGGGATATCTACATGGCTTACTGTTGAATTGTACACTTGAAACTTAATGTTCTAGCTTTAGCAAGCGGAAAGCTGGAGTCGCCATAAACTGAAATGGGAAAAGCAAATTTTTAGGGGAAGACTGTTCAATGTTGGATATGTTAAATTTGGGATGCCATTAGACTTCCAAGTAGAGATTTTAGTAGGAAGTTAGTTATAAGAATGAGTTCAGAGGGGTGGGGGAGAGAGATCTAGATTAGGTATATAAATTGAGAAGTCATTAATATGTAGATAGTATTTAAAGATAGAAGACTGGATTAGATCAGTAAGGGAATGAGTGTGGGAGGAAAAACTAATAGGGCTGAGGCTGGGACACTCCATCATCCAGAGGCTGAGACACAGAGGAAGAAATTACAACTAGCTACAGGTAGGAGGAAAACCAAGATAGTATGGTATCTTGGAAAAAAATAGATAAGTAAGACTGGAGTCGCTTGTGACAAAGGATGTGGGCAGATCAAGCAATGACAACTGAGAAACGTCCACTAGATTTAGCAACACAGAAATCACTAGTGACCTTAATAGCCATTTTGGTGGAGTAGTGGAACTAAAGCAAGCCTACATAGAATGGATTCAAGAGAGAATAACAAAAGAATCAGGTAGCTAACACCTAAGAGGAGTTTCGTGCAAAGGCCAAGAGAAGGCTGGAGCAGCAGCAGATGAGGAAGTGTCAAGAAAACTTTGGATCAGGTATGGATGGAAAGACCTCTGAATGCTGCTCTCAGCAGTGGGTACCTTTATAACTCATAGTGACCTGGTCATTGTTCTTTATTTCTGTATCTGTCCATGTTTTCTCTTGCCTAGAACACTCTCATTCTTTAAAACTAGCTCAAACCTTACTTCATTCTCAGCAAATACTTACTATGCCTTGTGCTAGGTGCTAAGTATATAAAAATAAATAAAATATACCCATTGTCCTAAGAGAAAGCAGCATAACATAATTTGTAGAACAATGGGCTGAATTCTAGGTTGCCCCTTAGTAAAAGTGTGCCTTGGGCAAATTACATGACCTCTTCTAGGCCTTGGTATCCTCAACTGTAAAGGGAAATAAGTTTATCTCTTTATCGATGTGAGGATTGAATGAAAAAAAGCATGTAAAGCATTCTGCTTGGCACATAGTAAATGCCAATTATTAAGGAGATTCTGAATGGTAGACATATTGCATTATACTGCAGTGGTCCCCAACCTTTTTGGCACCAGGGACCAGTGCTCCTCTGAGAAATGACCTGAGGTGGAGCTGAGGCAGTGATGCTAGTACTGGGGAGCGGCTCCAAATACAGATGAAGGTTTGCTTATTCGCCATTGCTTACCTCCTGTGTGCGGTCTGGTTCCTAATAGACCACAGACTGGCACCACTCTGCAGCCCATCGGCTGGGGATCCCTGCACTACAGGAAAGAATAGTAAAATATGGAAGAAAGAGAATATGGTGTCTGTGGGGAAGTGAAAACAAGTCTCTAAGTCTAAAGCAAAAGACAAGGCCTCTAAAGGAGGGGCCTTAGTAGTAGGCCAGAAAGGTGTGTGTATGGAGTGAGGTAGAGAGATTATAATAAAGGGGACTGCCGTGATGAGTTATGTTACAGCCAAGTAGCTTATTGATAACCTCAAACCAGAGTTGTGTTGGCCTTTGCACAAAGGAGAAGGTGCAAAAGCCAGGGAAACATTACCCAGATGAAACGCAGATCATTAATAAATGCACAGTGACAAAACAAATGTATTTGTTTCTAATTGTGAAGACAGAGGTGAGCCATGAGAGGATTCTAAGCAGAGATTTGCCTTTTAAAAAACAACTCTGCATACTCTGAAGATGAAGTACCACTCTGTCAGGTTAGGTAAAATTTTCCCAAAGGACGGAGCAGCCTGAGTTTAGAAGTAGAGAAAGAAGGTGATCTAACAGATCTGGGGTACCTGAAGGCTGGCAGGACATGATAATGATGAGGGACCAGAGAGAGGTTGAAATGATGAATCAATACTTCAGAATAGAGAGGAAAGAAAGTAAACCTATACGGGGGCTTATAAATGGGAGAAAAAGGAATCATCAGGGAACCGGAGGTCTGGATGAAGATGAAGAACAGGTACCACATGAATGAGGAAGAGTCCCCTCATCATGCGAGACCACAGTGAGTTTGTTCTTTGAATTCTATTAGTAATTACTATTTGGATAGTTAATTTACTGAGAGACTACTCAAAAACTATCTTATGATACCTCTTTTATTCTTGTCTTAAAATGTTATTTAACTAGTAATAATATTTATGTCTTGTCTCCCCATTTAGACTATGTTCCTCCAGACTATGCACTGTGGAGTCCCTCAAGCACCTACCATGGTGCTCAGAGATACAAGAGAAAAATATCTGTTCACCTAGATAACTGTTATTCACAGTGAAAATCAGGTTAAAAAGCTAAGAACTTTAAGGTTAACAAAAGAACAAAAACAAAATAATAAACAAAAAAAAATACCAAAATAAAACCTCCTCTCCTTGATTTCTCCAAAGTAAACTAATTTTTCCGTATAGCTACATAAGCTTGATCATGTCTGACACAACATTCATCAAAACAACTGCATTTGCTTACTTAAAAGTCTGTTTTATCCCCTAGTTGGGGAGCCCTGAAGAACACAGATTGTACTAGATTCATCTTTGTTGCCCTAGAGCTCAACATAGAGCCTAACACATAGTAAGTGTTCAGTTAATAAATATAAGCCAAAATGAAATCATCTAATTTTCAAACATTATTAAGTCTGTCATGTGTAAGCCACTATGCTTAGCTAATGCTATGGTACTAATCATTTTGCAACATGTAAGTGGCTCAAATTAACATGTTATACACCTTAAACTTGTACAACGTTATATGTCAATTATATCTCAAAGCTTAGCATTGTAATGAGTTGTTATTAGGTACTAAATTTTCCCCTTCAGTATATGAGATAAAATGAATTGGTTTAAATAAAGAAATAACAAAAAAAAGTAGAGAAATAAATACTTTTTAAATGCACTGGCTCTTTTGGGTGAAAAAATAAAGAGCTTTGTAGATACCAATGTGCTGAGTGAAAGAAATTAGATTGAGAGGCTAAAGGAAATTAAATCAGATCTGGTCCTCCTCTCGTCTTTTCTCCTCTCTTTTTTCATGCACAGGCCATCCCATCTTCCTCCTTCTCTCCAAAATAAAATAAAACCACAACCACATTCACGTGGAACTTTTTTTGGCTAAGTGTTTATGTATAAGCTGACTGACTATGGACAAGAGGGCTGAAAATACTTTCAGGCAGATAGAAGAGATGAACAGAACTAGGACGTCCTTTAATGTACCAAAAGAGGAGGGTCATACCAACAATTTACTTGTTACCATAAGTTTAGGTAAAATAAAATGAAATATAAGACAGATTTTTAAAACTAAGATGCTGATCAGTGGAAGGAAAGGTCAAGTCAGCTGTTATTGTGAGCTAACTCATTTTATCTCTACATCCAAGTCCTCTTGATTTCTCTGGTGGGGTACAGGGAACAATGTCTTACAGAGACAACGTATCAGAAAAAAGCTGCTGCCAAGCCATTTTACTCACTCGTCTCCTAGGCTCCTGACATGCATGTATCATAGAACATAGAAAAACTTAGATTAACAAAAAGAATTTCTCTACGTAATCACAGGATATACATAGAAATAAGTTTTCTAAACAAAATACCAAATTGTGAAACAATTTTTAAAAGGAGATTTGAAACTAAATATTGGATCTAACAGCCAATACACTTCTTACAGTAACAGTAATAGAAGCAGTGTTGTGGTGGCCACGTGGTAGCAGCAGCTCCCCATTTACTGAGAGCTTACTCAGTGCCAGGGGCAGAGTGCTTTATTAATTTCTCATCTAATCATTATTGTAACCTTTTGAGTTTGAAAATAATGCATAACCATACTTTATACTGTCCAGGTTTACCTATTTCATTACATTTTTCCTTAAAATAAATCAGTGTCAAAAAAAAATTAGAGAATAACTTTAAAAATGAACTAAGATCTTACTTTGAAACGTTCTGATTTTTTTTTCTTAAACTTATGTTTTGCACACACACACACGAACTGTTTTCAGGGTCACTACAAAGGAGCAGCCTTTAGTAGATATTACAATTCTAGTAAGGTTCCTAAAATAGCCCATTGAGGTTGGTACAGTTTTCTCTGTATTTAAATGGATTATCCTAGAGTCATTACTGCTCAAATGATACTAATTACTTTAATTCCGATTAAAGGGACATGCAGGGCCATTCGAGATAAACTGTCAGGTCAGCAGCAACCTCAATCTCCCAGGAAAGCCTCTATACTCATAAATCCTGTCTAGCTCTAGGGGTAGCCCTTCTTATTTACAGTAGCTGATAGATATTTTATCAAAGCAACTTTTAAGATTAAAGCAAATTTGAAGAAAAATATCTTTAAAATTTAAGAAAATAAATATTTAAGCATCAGAAAGAAAAATAAAGAAATCTGATTGTTTTAAAAATTTGATATTTAAAATCTCTATGCAGTTTTGCTGTATTTTGACAGATATCAGGTGCTGTGTTAAAATATTATATTCGTCCTTCAGAGAATCCTTAGCAATGTTTTTGTGACTAGTGTAACAATTCCTGTCAATACACTTTCTCTTCACATTTTTGTATGAATGTTTGTTAACTCGTGATATCTGATTTTAAAAAAAATCAATTTACCCCTGGGCTTGTAAACTCATTTTCTCTTACTTTTAGTATCTAGATTTCTAGTCTTTGGACCATAAAAAAATTAACAGTAAGACAAAATGCTCAATAAAATCTTTTTAGAAGATATGATTTATTGCAGTTAATTTGATTTTTTAAAAGCACAGTCTCAAGAAAATTAAAGGAATTTTTGATCTGTAGCTGCATAAAAAATTACACTTTTTAATTGTTAAAAACAATCTTTTGAAGGCTTGTAGGGCAGAGCACATAAAGATAACCTACCAACAGACTCATTACAATATCAAATAATAAATGGCCAACCATAACAAAAATAACATGGAGTTTCTTGAAAAATAACAATTAAGGGTAAGTTTTATTTTACACTGTGGTTGTGTCTCCATAGTTATATTTAAGCCACATTTTGGAAAACAGAATATTGCAAATGCCCCAAAGCTAATTTCTACTTATTAAGAAGAACCCAATATTATTAAATTTGCTTGTAAAGCAGAGTTAATGCCAAAAGTTTTTTTTTTGCAGATTTTAATTTATTTGAATTGTTTAAAATGCCATGTGTGTTCTTATAAAGCACCATGAGCAGTTTTATGTTCAAGTCAGAAGTCTTGTTACTACAAATGTGATCTAGAATAAAGTAATAGCACTAGAAATTGCGTTAGTACTAATGAGTTGTTCTCATAGAATAATACATTTTAACAGCAGTCCATTTATAGCTCTAACAGTCAAGTCATAAAACCTTTTTATATTTATTTTTTATATTAAAACTTGAGACTGTAACCTAATTCTTATAAATTTTAAAATTTAATTAATATTGCTTAAGATATGTTTTTTGGTAAATACTTTTACAATGAGATTAGTGAGAGTATTGGTTTAAGTGTAGTAATTAAAAGCAGGGTTCAAATCCACGCTCTTTCATTTATTAAGGCTATGTGATCTCGGAGAAATTGCTTGATCTTTCTATGCCTCAGTTTCATCATCTTTTTAGGGAAAAATAGTGGTATCTCCTTCATAAGGCTGGTGTGATGATTAAAAGAAGTTAAGATGTCACACACAGTATTCAATAACTGTGTGCTATTATTATAGTTGTTCTGGGGTTTCCTGTTGAATGCAACAAATGTCAAATTCTTTTCTCTTTGTTGGAACTCAATATAACAAAGTCAAAGGGGACAGAATGAAAACTTTTCATCAGGGCATAGTAATGATTTCTGACCTGACAGATAGCTGATTTACTGTAATATTTTCACTTTCTCGTCTAAAGCAATTAAAATTAGATACATAAAAACAAGAACTGATGATGCCCTTCGCTGAGATACAAATACAGAGGTTACCTACCTGTGCAGCTCTTCTGTTTTGTCTTCAGTTGGACCTACGATTAGTAAACAATGGCGAAGGACAGCTGCCATGACACGAAACTGATGAGAATCACTCTATGGCAAATAAAAAAGAGAGGAAAAGTTGGGGATTGAGTTCACCTTAATGAAGGAGTGTGGTGCATTACTACATCCCTGGGAGTCATCTTATGTCCCCGCGCCAAAACAGTCATTCTTATACCACACATGGTAGAGGTCAGGATATTCTAGGAAGAATTTCCAAGACAACAGTCAGTGAACAGTCATTGTCTCATATGAACAGCTACAGTCACCTCCATAAATGGCTGAAACCAGAAGTCGATCTAGCAGGCTCCCTTAGGGCATGTCAGGCAGAGAGAGACACGATCAGCACCCATGCATTACCCACGCTGTTTTACTTTATTTTAGGATTCCATTCAACTAGGGATCTTTTCCATTTCTAGAAAGGCTAGATTAGATTCTTTGCCTCACACTGTTCTAGTTTACTAGTCATCATAAAAGTTATACAAATGTAATGCTATTGGATATTTTAGGAGCAGGTTGTACATGCTTAGCAAAAATGGCTCATCTCTTAACTTTCAAAAGCAATGGATTAAAATCTATAATCTATTTACTTCATATTTATTTATTTATTTCTATTTACTTATATTAGTTTCAGGTACACAGTACAATGGTTAGACTTTTATATAATTTATGAAGTGATCCTATTGACTTCATTTTAATGAATCTTCTAAATCTCCTAGTTTCCCTAGAGCTACCAACAAGTGATGAAAAACAAGTGATATGAGTTTAATCTATCAGTGGTATTAAAGACACAGAGTCAGAGGGAAGAAGGCAAACAGCAGGAAAAAAGCTAAGCTCTGAATAATTACTTGGTTTACCTTCTCATTTTTAGTGAGATCTTGGGGCACTACAATTTCTTTAATCTCTGCATTAAGGTCATATCTCTCTTCTTCCAGATTTTTAGTAATTAAGAAGACTTATGAAATCAGTGATAATTATGCTAGAGATCATTGATATGCTATACTTCAGGAAAGTTCTAATTACCTCAAAAGCTATTAAACTTTTTCAAAAAACTTCAGTATATACAAAATTGATTTCAAGTCTATATTAAGTGAAATATAGTCACATATTATACGTATATATCCTATATTCATATATATAACTCATCCTTTTAGGAAGATGTCTCTTATAAAATCTAACAAACAATAGGCACATTACTCATAATGCAGATGACAATATTTTAAACATAAGACCATCATGTGTAGATTAGGAAGAGATAAAGGCCTCAGTGGCACAAGAGAAAAAGCAATGTACTTGGAGTCAGGAGTGCAGGTTGTGAACTTAGACAAATCACACAGCTTCTCTGAGCCAAAGTTTCCCCACATGCATCTCCGCAAACATGACGTTGTTAGGGTTATAAAAGGATTAAAATAAGGATGATACACATGCAAATGCTCAGTACTTTCAATGAAATATTTGAAGGTGAGGAGAAAGGATGAAATGAGTGATAATCGAATAGCTGTGTGTGAGGAGTAGGGGAGGGTAAAGGACAAGAGTGACCGGTGGGATGCCAGAGACACTAAAACTGGAGGGGTTGGAATGAATGCTGTCCCATTTGCCACCCATCTTCAAATGCCTGAATCAAAATTCTCTAATACGCAAACATACTTTTATTTATCTCAAATTACCCAAAACACACTGAAATGCATTAAAGCTCATCCATCACTTAACTTTTAATAATCATATTTTCCTCGGTTTTGAAAATTAACTGGGAATGTACTTCCTTTTAAACCAGATTTTCCTTTATTCTAGATATCACAATTTTTTTATCCTGATGTTGACAAGACTCTTGCAAAACTACCCATTTTCGCCTTTCCATTATCAGCAAATGCACACCAAAACCCTACTTCCTTCCATCCCATTTCCTCCTGCCCAATTTTCATAACACCAGTTCCCAAGTTGTACCCTGCGTCTGCAATATCTCTTTTGCCATAAATCCATTAAATTCTATCTCTCTGCTTAAAACAGTTACTGAAATTCCTTATTGTTTGCCTCCACTCTTGGCTTTGTGGCTTCCTTTTTTATCCTCTAGGTCTCAGCTAAAATACCTTTTCAGAGAAGCCCTTCTTTGACCATTGTATCTAAGTAGATTCCTTCCTTCCTTATTTTCTATCAGTACACCTTCTTTCATGGAATCATAATTTGTAATTCCACATTGGTTTATATACACTGTTTTCTTCACTGATCTAATACCTTTGCATGTGTATAATAGGTATTTAATCATTTTTAATGTAAATGGTAAGTAAAACATAAGCAAAAAGTGCCCAAATCATAAGTGTACAGCTTGATAAAATTTTCACAAAAATGAGCGCATCTATCTAATCAACACACAAATGATGCATTGGTGCAGTGTCGAGATTAAGAATCCCAGAATTCCCCTCTTGGCCCCTTCAAATGACAATCTTCTGCTCCTCAAGGGTAATCCTTATGTCTAACATCATGGGTGATTTTTGTTGTCATTGAACTTTAAATGAATGGAATGATAAAGTATAGACCCCTTTGCATCTGGTAGTGAAATTCATCCACATTGTTGTGTGTAGTTGCAGTTGGTTTGCCTTCATTGCTTGAGGACAGCGTTATTTGAAGTGCAATTTGTAGACCACTGCTGGTCCACATTTGTTTGCCACTGATCTGCAATTCCATGCGTACAGAAGGTGCATGGGAGCATCTAGAAATTTTTGAGTGATTTGACCTTGTGTGTAATAATGTACTACACAAGAGTTCCATTCTGACAGGGAAAAAAATCTGGTCCTGTACCACAGTTAGGTTAAGAAAACACTCGTGAATACAACGAATACATTACAATTTACTTATCCATCCTAGTCTTGATGGACACTGATTATTTCTAGTTTTGGACTATGTACCGAAGAGTGCTGCTATGAACATACTTTTTACACATCATTTGGTATGCTGGGTCACAGGGCATTCACATGTCCAGCTTTAGAAGGTACTGCCAAACAGTGTTTCCAAGTGTTTATACCAATTTATATTTCCACCAGTTGCTCAACAGCTGTGTCAACACTTGGTATTGTCAGCCTTTATAATTTTGGTCATTCTCATGGGTGTGTAGTTGTCTCATGGTTTTATCATGCATTTTCCTAACAATTAATAAAGTTGAATACCTTTTCAGATGTCTATTGGTCATTTGGATAATAGCTCTTTAGTAAAGCGCCTGCAAGCCTTTTGCCTACTTTTCTATTGGGTTGACTGACTTTATTTGTATGAATGTGTAGGACCATTTAATATATTCTGGTAGAGTCTTTTATTGCATTTATGTATTACAAATATTTTCTCTCATTTGGTGGCCTTTTTACTTTCTTCTCTTGATTAACTAATTTTAATGAAGACCAGTTTTTTTATTTTTCCTTTATGGCTTGATCTTTATTTTGTCCTGTTTTAGAAAGCTTTGCCTATTTAAGAAATGTTTGACTTGTTTATGTTAAAGCCATGAAGATAATCTTCTATTTTCTTCTAAAAGATTTATTATTTTACCTTTTATATTTATGTCTCTTATCCATCTCAAAGTAATTTTTCGGATGGTATAAGGCAAAGATTCAAATTCATTTTTTTCATATAGCCATACAATTGATCTAGTGAAATTTATTAAAAGCCCATCTTTCTCTTACTGTACTTCAATGTTACCTGTATCATAAATCAGTTGACTATATGTGTAGGTTTATTTCTAGACTCTTTTTTCTACTTCATCGGTCTATGTCGCAACAAATATTTGTTGAATGAGTGCTATCATTTAAGAAGTCTTACTTAACAAAGGTTAGAGTGGACACTATTTCCTAATGTTGGTTATTCTGCTGTATGACTTTCCATAAATAAAACTCTCTGATCTTTAGTGTCCTCATTTGTCAAATGGGGTTAATGCCCCTGTCTCACAAGGATGTTGGAAGGATTAAACTGCTCTTTATAAAACATTATACGAGCACAGTTTATACAACTGTCATTTACTTGCTTCATGATTTTTATTTTGGTATCATTAGGGCATCAATATTCTCTCCTCTGAAATCATACCATCCCCAAAGGCTGAGAAAGAAAAGTCCCTAAGGACAAAGAGAGGAGGAAGAGAGAGAGAGCAAGCAGGCTTGCTGTGACAGTGGAAATCAAAATGAGATGACACTAACAGAGAGATTAAAAACTCAGGAAATTCTTTGGGATCTCTTTACATAGACTTTATTTCCTAATTACAGATTCTACTACTGTACTGTTGCTTTTTTCCTCCTGCGCAAACTAGAAGATTTCACTTTTGTTTGGTAAAGGTATTGAGTTCCTTACGCCCCTTCATTCAAAGCTTTAACCGATCTAATCAATGCCTGAGAGGAAGTATAAAGGGAAAATATTTTGCACCAATGAGTCCTAATCTGGTTTTGTTATCTCGAGGTAGTTCTAACTACTTCAATGAGGTTTGTAAAACTTGTATATGGAAAATTCGATTTCAATTCTATAAAAGGTGAAAAGCACACAAAAACACAGATGCGCATGTACATAAGTGCTCTTAACTGGAATATAGTTATAACTCAGACAGCATTTCACCCTATGTTTTACCCTAGACCTTTTGCTTACCTCTACTTTGTTATGTGTCCCACTAAATCGTGTATGTTCAAAAATCTCTTGTCTCCTTACAGGCAAAAATTAGGTACTTTACCTCTTTACACTATTGCATCTATCATGGTGCTAGGCATAAAATAAATGCTTTTTTGAATTAACTTACAAAAGAAAATATAAATGTTATAAAATAGAGCGTTGTAACTCCAAAAAGGCTAGAAAATTTGCTCCTATAAACGATGTTATTAAATTTTTAAGACTTCTAGAGAATTTTTAAATAGCTTTGAAAATTTAAAAGGTACCATAAACTTTCCTTCCTTCCTGTCAACTTCAGGCTATTTTCCTCACGTATTTCCGCTATATAGATATCAAACTATATCACATTAAATTTTTCATTAAGCCAATATTTACTGAACACTACTTTGTGCTAGGTATGTTGCTTAGTGGAAAGACTGCCACTGGGGTCAGACAGACCCCCAAAGATCTAGACTATACGGCATTTGAAGCAGCTGTGCACTGCAGAGGTGACTCTTCTTTTTCAAACACAGAAAATTAGAGAAGAGTAGAAAATAATGTAACAAACAGTTGTATATCTATCTGTGTTTTTATATCTGATTTTCCTATTAAACCATTAGTTCTTTGCAAGAGGTGATAATTTATCTTGATGCATTATCTTGCATCTTCATCTTGTGTGCCTAACACAGAACTTGGCACGTACTGGGCACTCAATATGTTGCTGAAAAATGATTCAAGGAAAAGAAAATGGTATGGCTTGAAGCTTTATTTTTATTGAATTAATATCATGTTCTTTTTTCACATTTCCTTTAAAATAATTATGGAACAAACCTCTTCTGTCACACTGTGACATTCCCAATTACCTTCTATGGACACTCACTGTTTAATTTCACTCAAATAGCTTCCTTTGACTACTCAGTACTTGTACAGCTTCTCTGGTTGCACTTGGTTGTCTGGCTCTGCCATGTCTGTTGGTCCTTGTATTTTCTCATTACATTGCATTGGTACCTGGGAAGCACTGCAGAAGGAATGTGTGCTAAGTGAGGAATCTCCAGAACAACCTGCTCTCCTTTATCAGCAGAGAAATACAGCCCAGTGTTAAAGCAGGAAGATGATGAGCCCTTTCCAATTCACTTTTCTAGAGTGGACTTCGGGTCTTGCTAAAAGGATCTTTTGACCTTCTTAAATATACTACCTTTAGGAAAGGGAGAGAAAAAGAGAGGGAAGAAAGAAAAGAGGGAGGGAGAGAGGAAAACAAGACTGACACCACAAGTAGAAATAAGACCAGCTACATTTCTTAGTGAATGGAAAGAACTCTACAAATTAATTTGGTGATGGTAAGGCAGGCAGGAATTTAACACTGAGGCATAAACCTAAAAATGAACAAATGGCACTAATTTGCTAAACCTCAAGTAAAACCTACTCATTAATTTTCTGTTTATGGTGAATTATAAATGAAGTCATAAAAATACCTACTAAAACAGTTAAAACCAAAACCAAACATCTGTATTTTCTGAAATGAAACTGTATTTTCTGTAATGGTTGAACTGTGAAATAGGTAAAGATTTTCAAAAGTGAAATGTCCAGGGTTTGAAGAGGTATAAACTAGCACTACGCTCAAGGTCAATTTGGCAATCCAAATTGGTTTTGAAAAACCCTTTGACCCAACAATTCCGGGAATTCAACTATGAAGATTTTCCCAAGAAAATTCACTGTATTATTATTTGAAATAGCAAACAATTGTCAACAATCTAAATGCCTACACATAGGGGATTTGTTAAATGCTGACAATTCTGAAGGAAGAATTTGTTAAAACTGGAGAAGAAAGGGGTTGTAATTTTTTTTTTTTTTCTTTTGGTTGCAGAATTCTTTTTATTCACCAAATGAAATCTAGCTACAGCCCAAATTTAAAAAGAAACAACAGCAATAGCAACAATCCAGGGCTCTTTTTAAAGCAAGAGTGAGGAACATCAAACATTGTTCACTTCACCCACCCCCAGGAGCTATTCCTACGAACTTTATGGCTTCAAGGAACACATTCTGAAAACCACTACTCTTTAAGAACATTTGTTGTAAAAATAAGATCAAGATTATAAAATTACTGCATTTTTGTAAAAAAAAAAAATATATATACATATGTTTATATGTTATACAATGAAAAATGGTTAGAAATATATGCATCAAATGCAAATAGTGCTTATCTCTGAGTGGTGAGTTTATAGGTAATTTGTATTTTCTTCT